TCTGATTCCGCGTAACATTGGAATTTAATGACGTTAAACGGGTTTAAGAGTTCTTTAACAAAATGATATGTTATTTTTAATTTTAATTCGCAGTATATGTAGGTGATTTGGTATACGCGTTGGATATTTTAATATAAATATTTTTCTTTATTCACTCTTCCGTGGGCATACTCGTACCCTGAAAACAACTTTTCAGACTTAATAATCCAATGCGTATTTAAATATTGTACCGTGTAAATCCTGTTGCAGATGTACGTGTTTGTACATGTGTTACGTCGAATTGATATAATTATTGCTACCAAACAGAATATTGTTAAGTCGTGTGTTATTAATTAAAATTGTTACGCAATTATGCCTTCGATGATTTAATTCAATATACTTCAACATTCGTGATCCACTTCTAAGCATAGAATCTTTAAATTGCTTTGAATTAATATTACTATTGCGTTGTTTCGTTACGTTACCTAACAGAATCTGTCCAAGTCGTATGTCATCATTCGAAATTTTTACGAATCGACGCCTTCGATGATTTAATTCGATGTATTTCAATATTCCGTGATTCGTGGTCCACCTCTAAGTATAGAATCGAATTGCATCTCTCGTTCTAATATGACGACGGTTACGAGCTTTTTTTTATGACAGAGGAACTTGCTAAACTCAGATTCAATCAAATGGGAAGTGGGGAAATCCAGCGTTCCTCAACTTTGTTCGACTCTTGGCCGACGTTCGAGTTGCACCGACAAAAATGGCAAATATATTCCTGTACTATTTGCCAGTGTTTAATGGAATTCTTGCGGTAACACGCAAACTATTTAGCAAACTATCGGATATCTATTTCAGGGTCGTTAGGTTGAAAATTTTGGTCGCGTCTTTTCACGACGTGGTTAGGAGGTGTTTGACAGCGAGTGGAAAAACACGACTATAACCAGACTCAGGTAAACGCGAAGTGATGCATGCTCGATTGCCCTAATACAGGAACCTTGCAATTTTTCAACGTAATTCAATTTTCTTCCTTTCTTTCCTTTTTCTTTCTATTCCGTTCCTATCTCGTTTCAATTTCTACGATAATAGTTTGTTCTGTAAAACCTGAAGAGAGTCTCAACAAATGGAGACACCAAACGTCGATCGATTGTTAATGTAGCAAAGATTATCGATTGCTCTCAATACTCAATCGAATTCATTTATTTACTTACAGGCCAGACTGATTCTACATGAATTATTTTTAACCCCCTGACACCAGACAGAAGTTCTATTTCTTCCGACTCGTTCCGAAAACGTGACAGTATGAGAAATATTTCCAACTTTCCGTAAATAATGAAATCATGGATATAATTCTTCTGTACTCGATTAATATTACACGAGCACAAGGAACACATGAGTATAGTTACTATATACAAAAGTGGCATACGCGATGATACATGAATTAATTGGGTACATGTAAATACGTAAAATCACCAAACATTCTAAAATTAAAAAAAAATCCAAATATTAAAAAAGCGTACGCTCCTGTAACCAAATCTATTACCGGGAACATCGTTCCAGGAAACGTTCACCCCAATTAACACGTTCGCTGCCAGACTAATACTCTTAAAAATTTCTACTCTGATTAAGCTTTGTTTACAGACTATTGGAAACTGCGTAATAAAACATTTATTGTGGTATTTAGTTTTGTAACTTCATCAAAGTTCAAGTATTTCATTTAAATTCATTTTCTGTGACACTTAACATTCAGAATTAATATTCGTAGCTTTTCAGTGAAAAGCATCGTCACCCATATATGGGCGACGTGCCGATCAACGCGTTAAAGACACTGCCAAGCGCCGTAACTTCCTCCACTTCCATCCGCCATAAATCCATAAACACATGCAGTCCATCCTCAAGAAATATTTCACCTTACAACTCTCGTTGCGAATTGCCCGATCTAAACCTCCTGACTGGTCAATGCTTACCCGATTCCACCTTCCCTAAACGCGAATGAAAGTCCCAACGTTACTCGGTTACGAGCACGGAGTGGAAGCGCGCGTTTCTCGCGCGGCTTTCCGCGCCCTGCGTCGGTCAGGGGTTATTTAAGTTAAATACGTCAGCTCGCGGTGCAATTTTCGGCAATGCAAAGAGAACGCGGCGGAGGTTGAAGTCATAAAGGGCCAGACGTCGGGGCGGGGGCAAAATTTTCATTTGAAACCGGCCTTGTACGTGCAAACGTTGCCTCGGCGTGCACGTGTGTCGCGCGAATCGCGAGTGTGCGTATCGCGTGGCCCCGGTAGTGGGGAAAACGCCATCGAGGATGGTACATACGTCGGAGGGCGGTAGTTGAACAGGGAAGAGCAGAGGCAGGAGAGGAGGCACCCACTATTCGAGTATTATTGCGGTGCTGGCTACGGGAGGGTGAGGATGGGATATATCAACGGTTGGCGTTTATGTGGCGACCAACTGTCGAGTTAATATTCACGCGATTCAGGTTGACCCCTTCTACGAGGGCGCCCGTAGACGACCGTCGCGAAATCCTCGACTTCGGGCTTTTTCCCCTCGCGATTACCCATCTAGACGTGCCCGACGTTTTTCCGCGCGCCTACCGACACCCTCGTCGCCATCCATCGCCAGTGGAGACAAGGAGAGGTCAGAAATTGATCGCGCGGGGTGTACGGGTAACTCGTGATACAATCTGAATAGGGGAAAATGATTTCAGGGCTGGGGGAATCTGGATGGTAGACGTGGTTAATTTCGGTGGATGAGACAAAAAGTCAGGAATCGATACGTTGCGACTAGAAGTATTGGGGTAATTGAAAAGGGAGCTGTTCCTTGTTGAAGATCCAACTCTGTTTGGGATAATCACTGGTGGTCTTACCCAGGGTTTCTTATGTAGCTCATTTGAACCCGTTCATTGCACAAATCGATTAACTCCGTGAAACAAAATGTTGGTAAATGCGATGAAATAACGTCTGAAATAAATCATTTATTATTCGATATTATTTTCAAATAAATAATTTATTATACAATGGCCTACAAAATTTTGTCGTTTAAAGATATTAACCTTCATCATTCAGGAAAGTTATTATAAATGTAAAACGTTATGGGTGTCCCAAGTTCTTTCACACTTGAATCGAAGATTTTTCAAATAGCAGAGTTTTATTGCGATCAGAGCTGGCATCCATGGTATGCAATGCAATTTGTGATTATCTAAATAACAGAAATCAGTTTTGACACAGCAACAACGAAAAACGAAATAAATTTATATTTCTCGTACATCTAAATCTATCGAGGGAAAATGTGTACTATTGTGATAAATCGTTAGATTCAGTATTTTTATATTAATTTTGGATAACGCGAGTCGTTTCTCAAAACAAAGCTGAATTTTAAGGAGTCAGACTACTAAATTCGACTTGCCAATCGACCTGTTAAACACACCACAAAATTAAATAGACAGCGTCATTAAATAGACTTAAGGAAGGTGTGTACTATTACTCCGAATCGAGAAACGTTCTACCGAGAGAAGGTTTCCAAACCTTTCCACCCTTATTTCTGCCCTAACTATTCCATTTCCTTTACCCTCCTACTTCCCTAAATAACATACGTTACAAAATACTACTCACGAACTTCAGCAAAAAGAATATTGCCCATCAAGCCCACGTTAAAACCGAAAAAGGCAGCTCGTGCCCTGACCCGTGCCCCGAGTCGCGTCTACCCCCGTTTTGGGCAAACAGGAAGTGGTCAGATATCGATTATACAGAGAACCCACTACTGCAATCGAGAAGGAGCATTCTCGTTGAACAGTACGTAGGAAATGTATTAAATACTATTTGATCCATCTACCATCTACCTTGTTTTTTAGGGGATGGTCAGAAATTGATTACACAGGGGTGTCGTCAAATAAGTTGAAATTTTTCTGCAGCGGATTTCGCTTACGAAAAAATCGGATTTCCAATTTCATTGGATGTACGTGCGCTGGACATTTCGGGTAGACATCCATCACACCTCTGCACGATAGATCATGCTGTCCAACTTGTCAAATTTTCCCTTATGTTCTTAGAGGCGTGGTCACATACAGGCGACATATATTTAGAAACTCCTAAGTTTAATATCTTTGAAAATATGTGAGACGTGAACGGAGCGAAATGTTTTCAGAATATTTAAAATTAACAATGAAACGGCTCTGTATAATAAATCGTTGGAGGTGACGTATGGAGTTGGAAACAAAGCTGAAGGATCGATAAGTTTATTAATTTTCTAATCTGTTCTTGACTCTACATCAGAGTTTCAATGATATGTTTGCCATTCAAATGTTATATTAAGGAATCAATTCTGTGCCTTTTCATTCAACTGTTTATAACTGTAGTATAAGTACAAATATTTACTCATTTATAGCATTACAATTTATATGTATACAGAGTGTCCCAAAAATGTTGGAGTTCCTTGAAAGGGTTGGTTCGGAGGGTTTTCCTTCCCTATGGAAAATGTTGTTTCCAATCACCCTCCGGACCACCCCTTTCAAGGAACTCCAACATTTTTTCGACATCCTGTATTTGATATTGAGTAATCTACAAATGTTGTTTATTGTTTTTCTTCTAAGACGAGAGGAGTGTACTTGTTAGGTGTAGAAATGAATTCTCTGCTTTCACATTTAATTACTTATAACTCCAGCTTAAACAGACATCAACCCCATGTGTTTCACGATGATGAAACATACAAATTATTTCGAGATTTGCTTTTTATAACCATGTGCGTATCTTTTGTAGGATGTTTAACCGAAAGGAGATCGAAAGTTGCATAGTTTTTCTATCTAAATGAATGGCAGGTTTGCTCTCGAAAGGCACAGAATTAATTTCTACATCTAATAAACAGAAGAAGGTCCCAAATGGATTTGCAACATTGATATCGATCCTCGATATCGAAATTCTCCCCAACGTATTATCATAAGAAATCTAAGACACCTAAAAGTTAATCCATCGAAGAATCGTTGATAACGCATCGACGTAAATAGCAACGTGTTATTTCTGTTGCAGTACGTATGGCGTATGGCCCACTCAATGGTATGGCATCGCGGGACATTGTTCTTTGCTTCTTCCTCGCCGCGCACCTCTACTCAAGTTTCGGTAAGATTCAAATGATATTTCCTCCCGGTAGCGCAAGTACTCTTCACCCAATCCGCCAGCGGGCGGGGCGAGAGAAAGAGGATCAGAGAAGAGTGGAAACAAGTTTGAATTGGCCGGAATACGAAGCAAAAGTTACAAGTTTTTAATCCCTACAAAATGATGCGAACGAATCTCACCGTTGTATCGGTAATAGCATCGTGCCGTGCTTTTTCTCCCCGCTGCGTTTCTTTGCTCCACTTTTCGGTAAGAATCAAATAAAATGCCTCTAAAAGCACTATCGGGAGTCTCGGGCTTCCCGTAAAAGCATTCCCGTGGAGAAGCCGAGGTAGAAATTACAAAACTGCGCGGCTAAATGTTACAACTGTTCTCACCTGGGAGCTAAACGAAAAAAAAAAAAGGAAAAAGAAAAAGAAAAAAAGAACCGTAGCAAAATTCAACACTCAATTTCTGGTTACGTTGTTCCTCCTTCGCGCGGATCTATCGAATTTACAGCAACACCGATCGCCACGGCGCGGAACAAATACTTTGCTCGTTGAAAATTGATCGGGCACATCTAACGATGGGGCATTGTAATCGCTATGCTGCGAATTTCACGCATTTATGGTGTATATAAACATGAAATAGTTGGGGTAAATCTGTTCAGGACGAATGCTCTCGTGCAGAATGAAATATTGGATCGATTCATAAATATCGTGACTTGTGTTTCTTACGTTACAATTCATTTCCAAATAATATGATTATTGGGGGTGGCAATTTAACGCATATATAGTCTCATGCAAAATGAAATATTGGATCGATTCATAAATATTCTAACTCCCGTCTTTTAACTTACAATTTATTTTTAAATATGTTATTATTGGGGATAGAAATTAATTATATGGCTTCGTATTCAATCATTTACGACTCCAATTTAAGCAGATATACTTACTCGTCATTTTAATATATGACCTCTTAGGGGACGAATTTTAAATAAAATTTATGTTACTTTAATTGAATATACACAAACCAAAGCGATGTTTGTCTTTAGACACCTTTGACATACAAATATGCAGCCTCACTTTAATATTGTATATATGTTTTAATTCCAAAAAGAAACACTAAAACAACGAGTAAGTATATCTACCCAAACTAAAGTTATAAATGATTCTATTAAGCCACTGCAGCGAAGGTTACTTACGAACCAACCGAATATTATATTAGTTATTTTAATTAGTACGGTAATAAAGTACCGAGAAAGGAGGAGCAATCATTAAAAGAAACATGAGAAAACAGGGATATTCTTTATACTCAATTTCAGAGCGGTATAATTTTTCCAAAGTGAACTTTCCAGCGAAATATGTGACCAGATCGATGAGATAAAACACGCACATACAGAATTACGAACTAGAAGAAAACGGAAGTACACGCCTCAACTTGTTTGTCCGTCAAGTAAAAGGCAGCCTTCGAATAACGTTCGAGATTATAAATACTAGCGTCGATATGACTTTCGCCTTTTGAATCGATTCATACTAAAACCAGCTACTATCGTCGAACACGCACGAGAGTGGCGTAGGCAATTCGAGGCTCTCTTCCGTTTTCCCAGCCATTACGTTGAGGATTCTATTTTAACCGGCAAACGTAATTCTATCTCTGTGTGTCCACTCTTCAATCCGATCACATAATTTTTTCAGACTTTAGGCTAATTAGAATGCGCTGGAAACGAGGACAAAGAATGTCCGCGATATTCTCTACTTTTACATCGCGACCGGCGAGTAATACTATTCGCTAGAGAATTCGTTCTGCTTTGGTGCGAGAGGAATATGTAACTTTCAGTTAGTTGAAAATAAATTGGAGAATGAATTCAGTGATCGCAATTGAAAATTGGCATTATAAAGCAGAGCTCGCTATAACAACCCTCGTCATTTAATAAGAATACTCATCTAATGGATGAGTAATTCAATTAGTAAATTGCAAACGAAAATTAATAATACCGCTCTTTTCTATTAAAAGTATGAACTGATTGCCCTCGATTGCTCTCGCGCATCTACAGTTTATAGCTTACGTACCACGCGGAGCCTATTACCCATCTGGTAGCACTGGCGTACCCCCAAGCACATCAATTTATATACAGACACTTTAATTAGTGTTATTAAATTTAAAGGCTCCCTATTAATTTACTTTGGGACTCCAGAAATCCTTTACTCGAAATAGTTTTACTTCAAAAGAAAATAATGCGATCCCTCTTCTGAAACAAATAATACGTTAACCACCGCCAATTGTCCTCGTGATAAATATCTGACCAGACGTCTTTCATCAATTTTCAACGAATAAAGCATCCTCGGCGTAAATTCATTCACCGTCGCAACCGTACGTCTTTCTCGGCGTCGGCTCGCACGGTTATTATTGAACAAGGAATCGTAGTTCGCAGTCGCGCTGATATGGTTAATAAACACCCCCAGGTTACGCGAGACCCTTTCTTTCACTTGTACTTTTTCCCTCTCGTCTGCGCCACCCGACGTCCACGTGCCGCGCGACAAAAAGCACGCCGAACGAAGAAGAGAAAACGAACCCGAATAGCCTTCGCGGAAAAAGAATTATTGCCCCCATAACTTTGCCCGCGTACAGTTGCCATGAATTCATATAGAAGCGATACGCATGACGAACTAGATTAAGCCAGTCGGTAAAAGAGATGTAAAGATTAAGAGAAATCAATAGTCGAACGAGACGAGCGCGGCAACGTTCTTCTCTGATTGAAAACGCAGATTTAGGGCCGGTATCCCTCTAACCCTGGTCAGACGTAGCAACGTTGTAACCCCGGCAGCGTATAGCTAAGCTAATTAGACGTAAAGTTGCCGGCTCGTTAATTACACGATCGTTAATTATTCCGACCTAGGTCAAACGATGCCGAAGTCCGAGCTCCAGCCAGAATTTCTAGCACTCTTGGAGAACCACACGGTCATTCAAGGTCGTGACGTCTCCTTCACCTGCGTCGTTAATCATCTTCAAACTTACAAGGTAATTGCATCCACGCGCCCGTGTAATTAGTAAGTCGATTAAGGGCATGATCCGAAATCGTAAGTACCGCGCTGAAATCGCATTTCCGCGATCGGTCAGCGTTAGACTCGAACCCGTCGGATCGGTCTGCGGTTAGGGCAAACTTTAAGCACCCGACACACCGATTCCGCGACGCTGAGGAATCGTTAGGGTGGCCCAGAATATACCGAGTACTTCGGAGCCTCGAATCGGTGAACGACAAATAGGAACGAAAGAGCAATTTCGAAGGGAAAAATAAAACGATACATCGGAAGATGTTTCGCGGAGCCTAAAAGAAGAAAAGACTGACCTAACAAAGTGCCGTTATTAGCAAATGGGGCGCCGTTGCACGGAAACGACGATGCATTAATTATAAAATTGTATTTACGTTCGCCAATAACAGCGTGAAAGTACGAGATGTTGTTGTTCGCGATTCGTTCGAAAAATGAGAACGCAAACAAATGATATATCTTCGTAATCGGCTTAGAGGAAAGGTTTTTAACGCGTTGGTGAATTTACAGCGATTCAATGGACGGTTTAAAAAAAAAAAAAAACCCAGGAGGCGAAGTAGAAAATACGCGATACTTTCTGGGACACCCTAATATTCAACGCGAGAAGTCACAAACGATATTACCTAACTCCGATATGATATTTGGATCCTGTACAGACTGTTCCCGAACTGGGTGACCAAACTTTGGGAACATATTCAGCTCACGGGATGAAGAGTCGAGCGAATGTAGGATCTGGTAACACTTTATTTCCGTGTTATAACCGTTTAGGAGCACTGTGTTATTATTTAGATGTACCAAAACGAAAAAGGAAATCTGTTTAATTAAATCTGAATAAATCCACATAGTTTAGGAGCACTGTTATTATTTAGCTACGTACAAGATAGAAAAGCAAAAGGAATAATTCACACGCAGCTAGTCCCGTAATTATTCGTACTCTCTATGCTTATTGAAAAAACTTGTCTAAATTAAATGATAGCTTCAATGTTTCCAAAAAAATTGTTCATCGATGAGTATAGAAACGTGGGTAGTCTATGTACATATTTTCAACGAAACATTTCTATGGAAACATCAAACCTGTAGTTTCATTTAGACAAATTTGTCAAAAGACGTAAAAGGTACGAATATTGACGAGACTGACTGCGTATAAATTGAATAATATTTTGAGCAATAATAAACGCAGAGGAAAATGAATTATTCGAATGAATTATTTATATTCAAGGCTTTAGTTTTCTTCCGGGCACTTTTCAGAAAAATACCTTAATTTCTCCCAGAAAATTAAAAAATTCAATTAATTACGAAAGTATCATTGAAATAATTTATTGTCGACTGTAGCTATTATCGTTGATACTATCGAGAAATTCACATGTACAAATTATTTTCTCCCCGTCAGAAGTAAACAAGAATAGTGCTTATAATCGCACGAGTGAGCTTGACATTGATATCAGTATGCGTCACACGTTCCGCTGGAGATACGTAATCGAATATAGTTCACGCGTGACGAAGCTGCCAGTATATTTTAATCGCGCCGCTCGAGAGTTTCATAGTACGCAACAATTGCACGCTGAATTGACAGAGAAGAACCAATCACGTGGCTTGCACCTTCGCCAATAGAAATTCATTAGATGTTTATTTATGAAGCAGCCGCGAATCCCTCGTGTATTGCTGCCACGGAAATACGAATACTGTAACGTCAGGTTAAATAATTTTTATCAACTCTTCAGGGTCACAGTAGGTAGTGCGTTTATAATTATTTTTAAATTTCGAGCTTTCTGGTTGGTCAATCGGAACTCAATTAGAATAAAAGTCACTGTATAATCAAGAAAAAGGCATCGGGTTAAATAATTTTCGTTAGCTCTCCAGAGTTATTCGAATTTGCATGTTTGCTTCTAAGGTTATTTTAATCTCGACGATCGCAGTAGGTTCATAAATATTTTTAAATTTCAAGCTTTCTCGTAGGTCAATTAGAACTCGATTAGAATAAAAGTCACTGTATAATCAAGAAAAAGGCATCGGGTTAAATAATTTTCGTTAGCTCTCCAGAGTTATTCGAATTTGCACGTTTGCTTCTAAGGTTATTTTAATTTCGACGATCGCAGTAGGTTTATAAACATTTTTCTTTCTCGTAGGCGACTCAGAACTCGATTAGAAAAAAGTGACCCGTAGTTGCATCGAATTTATTCTAATCGAACAGCTAAATCATCGCATTCCTACGAATTTATATTTTACATATGCCAGGTATCCATTAAAATCGTAAGTTTAGAATTTACTGATCGGTTTGAATTCCTCGAGTAAAAATAATTTACCGCCGAAGTGATTAACGGAGTGTCCCCACAGAAGCCCTTCCAAAACGAAAATTAGTTACAACTCGCAGAGGCGACGTTTGCGGAGTCATGTACACGTGACACGTTTCCACCCTTACGATAAATAGAGTACGTTCCTAAAGTTCGGCCACCTGTGTCGGAAACACCCAGCATACGGGGTCAATGTAAGTCGCATTCGTTCTATATTCGGTGGTGCCGTTCCGAAACGTAACGCAGATATCAGCTTAAAACAATGCCAAGTGGAATCATCGGGCCAAACACCGCCAAGCAAACACGCGAAACACGTACAGAGGTTTCGCGCGGCTGTGTGCCCGATAATGATAAAGCGGTGTACGTGTGTGCCTTACTTCCATCGGTCCGCACCCAGTTCTGTCCAGAAGCCCTTGTGGGACAGACCCGCCAGAGTAATTCACTTTCGAGAAGAAGTCCAAGTTTGATTGCGCGCTCGAATCGACAATCGGTTCTATCGCGAGATGAAACGTTCTTGGCGCGTGTTCAGAGGATTTCGTCCTCCTGGATTCGAAGAATGGGAAGGGACGAGAAAGAGTAGCATAGAAGTAGACGAGGAAGAAGAAGAATAAGAAGTGGAAAAAGTGGCAAGCGTAGAGAACCGAATGTTACTTCGAGGAGAGGGAGTATCCGGGGAAAAGAAAGGAAGCTCGAAAGAAGGGGCGCGAATCGGAGCCGCTAATATAGGCTACAAACATGAATGGGCCTGATTTTCGACGGTTCAAGAGAGCCCTCCTTTCTTTTCCCTCGATTCTCCTCTAATTTTCGCCGTATTTCCTCCTCGAAGCGTCCGACAATTCCTGCACCAGGTTCAGCGATCGCGAGGATTGCAAAGCAACGAGTAACCGAGCTAAGGGTTCTACCGAATCAATCCGACTGTTTTTTGGGGGCAGTAAAATGTGAATGCACCTCGACGAACAAGTTTCTATTTCTTGCCTTCTTATTCGCATAAAATAATCTTATATTTTTCGTTTATTGAAACGTTTAGACCACTAGCATATGTAAACCTATGCCACTTTGAATTCCACCATTCTTTAAATTGGATTTGGACTCTGTAATCATTTTTCCTTTTTTTTTATCGAATGTTAAATGCCAGTTAAATTTATTTCGCGATAAATTCCCAATGAAATACAATTTAGTCCACACCGACCATATTCCCCACCAAGCTGCCCATATTACACCCAATACGTGGGACACATAAGCACCCTTACATGCCACCATATTTCATCTCGTAGCAGCTGTGTGTACCGATAAAAGTGTGTTCCGAAAGGTACATAAAGTTCCAGCGCTTTACAGTTGTTTATAACAAAAATATTTTCCTCTTTTCTCACGTGTTTTATTTCGAACGAATTTCCCTACGCTCGTGTTACATCCGGTTCACTTCGTGAAATGGAAACTTATGATTGAGTTGCTCATCAGGACCGAGACCGTCAAACCGTAATTATGTGCGCAGATCTAGAACAACTATTAGTTTGCACATCATTTGCCTCGCCAAATGAGCGTTTGTCTACATTTTCTAATTGCCTCAGTATTCGCCAATTTTTTTAGACGTATCAATTCTATTTGTTCATTTTTCTTTATATTAATTTTCTTCCTTTCCTGAACGTTGTATATGTAACATAAGACGAGCAGTTGATTAATTGATTCAATTGTACATTGCATATTAATCACTTTGTTAGTTTTCCTTTCTACTAATTTTCTTCTAAACTTATATATACTTATATATACTCAGTTATATGTTTAGCTCAAGCCAATCAATTAATAAATTCGATCGTCCATTGGGCATTAATTTCTCTGTTAAATTTCTTTTCCTACTAGTTTCCTTCTTTCTCTGAACGTTATACAGGTAGCACAATCGAATCAATCCTCTTGTTAATTAATTAATTCTCTTGTACATTAATTTCTCTGTTAGTTTCTCTTCGTATTAATTTTCTCCTTCCCCTGAACGTTACATATTCAGCTCTTATAACCGTAAAAAACCTTTCGTACCGCGCTGTAATGTAACGTCGAACTATGCAAACGTTTATTCAGACCACGGCAGGATAAACATTTCGTTTCGAATACCGGTGGTCTCGGAGAACTTCAATATTTCTGAATCCTGGTGCCAAGACACCGCATTACACGCGCGTCATTTTCCCTGGCCGAGCGTTTACGCGTTGTAACAATTTCACGAAATTCGTTCGAACGACGATTCGTCGACAGTAATTATTTTAAACGGTCGGTGGCATCGACCGGATCCATTCGTTTTGGAACAGCGTTTCTCAAACCGGGCTTCACGGGCCCCCAAGGGGCTTCGAAAAAAGCGGACATACAGAGCGAGGTAGAAAATACTGTTTTACTATTTAGTATTTTGCTGCCGTAGCATTTTATTTGTCTCAAAAGCCGCGTTGAAAAGTTTGTTGCGGTGAAAAATATGGAGGGAGAAACTGAAAACAAAAATACAAAGAAAAATGAGCAACCGTGAGGTCTCGTGATTTATTTATTTGGAAGTTTGCAACAGCTGAATCTTTTTCCATTTGATAAAAGATAGCGAGTATTGCATTTTTCGTTTGCGAGTTTTATCTGAAAGGAAGTCGATAGACATATAATAATACCATTCGATGCAAAAGGAATATAAGATTTCAAGTATTGAGTATTTCACGGGGTATTTTTTTGACAGAGAAGAATTTATGTAATAAATCACAAAGATGCCTGAGTGAAATGAATTGAAAAAATTACTGTGCCTTAAAATATAGCTGAAATATTCCCAAGAAAATATAAAGGCTTCGCGTGAATTCTTCTCTATAAAAAAAAAAATATCCAAAGAAACATACTTGGGCTTCCAACGTGATTTCATCCCTTAAGGGTCGCAGACGAAGTTTGAGAAACGCTGATTTAGACCAGGAAGAGCGACAGCGTCGATTCAATGTCATCTAACGTGAGAGATATAACAGGCGCCCGGGAACGAGGATTCAATGCTGATTGTTTGCATAAAAATTTTTTCACCCGCCAACAGGTAGAATTATTCCCGAAGCGACTGGAACGGCGAGCGGTCCATCAGCCGTTATTTATGCACACCTTAAATTCTATTGCCGGTGGATCAAAATTCCCGGCCTTTTGTTCGCGATTTAAAAGCCCTTTCAGCCGTTCAATAGGGACCATCGTTTGAAATACGACAGATCGAGCACGCAGGAAGTATGTTCGCGCAAACGAGACCCAATCGGAGCTACGAACCCGATCGGAATTTGAATCCTGGAATCCAATAACAGTGTTCAGTGACTTGTGCCGCGAACCTCAAGTAAATAATTACATTTCGGCCGTTCGGGGTGATTGCAAATGAATTCTCAGATTTGCGGTAATGAGGAACCAACGATCCGTGGATTACGATCGATGCGCAGCCCCCACGTTTATGGCCGAAACCGTCGAAATCGTATTTTTCGACCGGCCAACGCGCCTGGTTATCCCCTTTAGAGTAAATACCCTTTGTCGATCAATCATTTCGGGAGAAAGCAATGCGCGCACGTCGGTTGCTTCCCATCCAACTTTTTGTTTAAATAACAAACTCGCGCGCGTCGTATCGTTTTCAATACATGCCAATCTCAGAGAGTGTACGCGGTTGTTGCGATATCAACTGTGTGTTTCCCTTTATATGGATCATCCTTCGCGCACTTCTAATTCGGAGCATTACACAGAAACAATTTTTAGATTTGTTTCTCGATCATTGTTCATAGACTGGGAATGTTTATCCATTTATGACAAATGGAAATATTAGAAGATAAAAATTCCTCTCAAGTGAGGAATAAATTTTCAACCCTTCTTTTTTTTTCCATCTAATCGAATGCGCACAAGTTGAAGCAATCTTCATTTATAAATCACTTTTGACGTACAAATAAGCTGTTTCTCTTTAATATCGTATATTCTTTTCATTCTGAAAATATGAATTTGCATAAATGTCCTCGGTCTAATCATAGCGTTTTCAAATCTTGTTTCAAGAATGCATTTATTTTGCGAGAAAATGTGTAAACTTGGGATCTGTGATGTGCATTTAAAAAAAAAAAAAAAAAAAAGAAAGAATTAGCATTATATCGAGTAGTCAATCTTTTTTGACTGACGATACCGTTTCCGTTTTTATTTTCGTTATAACGTTTCTCGTTCCCGAACGCTGGCAAACAAGGATTAGAATCGCGACGGGAACATCTCGTTTTTCTCTTATTATAGTTTAATGTTTACGTTACACGCCTTAACGGGGATGCTTACGTTAGAATTCATGTGTACGCAGGGATAAAGGAAAGTCACGGAGAGGATTTTATGTTCACGTGGGAAGGGAACAAGTTGCACTCGTACGTCAGTGGAATGTACGATAGGCACATGTGTACGTGGATAATTTAGGTTCATCTGGTACGTACATCCAACGTGAGAAAAGTAAAGCCTTCTTTAATGCACAAATGGGATATACTCCGGCAGAACAATACGGGCGTGTTTTAAATTCATACTTCTCGACAAATGTCCATAAAACGTGTCGAATAAAGAACAGCGGAATTTCGTATAAATTGCACGAGGTCTTCGAAAGCCAAACAGGAACGGAATTGAATATGTAACATGTATGAAACAAGTGGTACGAATTAATCTGAGATAAAACAAAGAATATTTGTTTTGATCAAATAAAGAAGGTTTCTTGCAAGCACCAAAAATGTGAGAATTCCATTCTAAGACTGCAAAATAATTTTTGCATCGACTTCGTGGCCTCGTAATTCTTCGTTGTTATCGTTTTAAATTTACCTAAAACGCAGTAGAAAGTACTTTGAATCTGAGGTAGATTTATAAGGTTCCAGCTTCAAATTCAGAGACACTCTAATAGAGCGTGGAATCGAGTTGGAGGGTGGAACCAGAATGTCTTTCCCCACCTGAACGTGTTAAAGTCTCGTGATTGTGTTACGATCGCCCCTACCGCAGATGTTTTTAGTGTTTACCGAGCGCTGGCAGTTCCTTGGTTACTTTCCTGATTAGCTGTTAAACCTTCCCCGTTAGAAAATCCTTCGCTTAAAATGCCCTTCTTATTGCACCCTGTTGGCCGAGGCAGCCATCGTGATCGTTACAAGCAAAGTATGTGGAACAGATATCGACGGAACGTTTCTTTCAATGAGTCTTTACCGACAAACCTGAGATATCGAGAAAGCGAGTATTTAATTCGCCGAAACAGCCTTCGTGGCCATGGTATCGTTTTCATTATTAGTTTCGGATAATTAATATCGGCACTGGAATATCAGGCAAAGGTGAAAAGGTAAATGAAACCTTTGACAATTTTTTGCTGAATTTTCTTTTTACTTGATGGCAAAGCGAAGAATGCATTTTTTAATCGTTAAAATTACTTGTCAAGGAAAGCGTGAATTTTATACATGACCTCGACTGCATAGTCGAATCGAAGCGCATAATTTACTCACTGATACGATATTAATCTACCCGATCTATTTACGAAGGTGACGTCGATAAATTAATTTAACGAGAAATACATTTCCTCGAATAGAATTTCGAAGATTTAGTTATACTTATTTATTTTGATTTTGTAACGCCAACGTTTCTCGTCGCTGGATCTCCGCAACCTTTCGATAAAAATATCCCTGAAAGGATTTCTTGGTGAAGGGTGGAGATGACGCTATCTCTGACCAAAGTCCTCCATTGTTACGGGCGAGGCGTGTTCTGGACAGACGGGGATGGCCCGTAACGAAACTAAACCGGCAAAATCCGAATTCTAAAACCGTGATTATCGGCCCCGGGCGTAGTAAGTAATGCGGGCGCGGGTCCGCGGTTCGTAATCAGCTGCTGAAACGGCGAAACGTCCATGTTCCTGATTGTATTATGCAGGTCGCCTGGTTAAAGTCGGACTCCAAAGCTATCCTGGCCATTCATACGCACATGGTCGCGCACAACCCACGGCTGTCTGTCACTCACAACGGACATAACACGTGGAAACTGCACGTGACCAACGTTCAACCGAACGACTCGGGCACGTACATGTGTCAAGTTAATACGGAACCCATGAGGAGCCAGGTTGGTACGGTCCCGTCAACTTAAACGTTAACGGCAGCGGTCGTCCGTAAACTCTGCTCCACGATGATACTTCGCTAGCAATTAGAATGTTTTCCGAGGATTTTACCACTCAGCCCGCAGGAGGGGACTTAACTTGATACCATCGTTGATACCTACAACCGACGTTCTGCCAAGAAGAAACGCGCTTTCGCTGAGAACCATTGCGGTTGTTATATTACTGAGCACTTGTTTACGGAGGATCGTTAACTTAAATAGGCTTTCGGAGTAGTACCGAGAAACTTAAGGTGTCCTTCTGAACTCTTGTTACCGGTCCTCGTTTGGACCGGGGATGATTTATCAGTAAAACGTGAAAGTTCGTCGAGTATTCTGCGAAACTTAAAACAACCCAGGCAAAAGTTACGAGAATCGACAATTCTAACGACTATGTAACCGATGAAATACTTGTGGATGGAAATGGAAGCTCGAAACGCATTGAATGATATACGAAATCGAATAATATTAAGAATTTAGAACACACTTGGTTGCTTGGTTCATTTTTTAATAGCGTTCAGGCCACCGTAGGTCTCTTTCTCTTTTAACACTTTTGATCCAGCTATCTATTTCTTTCTCTTTTAAAAATGAATTGTACCAGAGTAGAGCTGGCTAGTCGGATGAGAAGGGACAATTTGTCCTAGTCTCAATTTTAATTTGGCCGATGGCAACCAGATATGTTCACCGTGATATACAATCTGTCTCATAAATATTCGTACCATCTACGTCTATTAAAGAAGTTTGTCTAAATTAAATAGGTTCGATGTTTTCGAAGAAATGTTTCATTATAAATATATACATGAATAAACTTTACGCTTGTATATATATAATGAAAAATTTATTTGGAACACAAATGGTACAAATATTTATGGGACCGACTGTATGTACATGTCCTACTAGGATCGAAGGGTTTAATGTCATACCGACATTTATTTTTATACGCTATATCGCTCTATTTTCTCTGGTCGTTTTATTTTTTCTTAACCCTGTAAGGATCAATGGGATCCAAAAGGAGCTCGGGTACCTCGGGTTCGCGAAACCCGTGCAACTGCAGCCCATGAGGTGCAAACAAGTAGCATTTTGTGAATTTATTAATATCGGGTTATGTTCTTCGAAACGATGACGAAAGCTCAGCGTCCCCGAGCTAGGCACCTCGGTAGCATTATTAATCATTTATAGAATTAGTTTGTATTGTTGAGGAGGGCCAAGAAGCTATAGTTGTTAATATTTAGTATTTAATACACAGCAAACTATATACATTAATTTGGACCTAACATTCTCAGCTATCTTCAGTGGAATACCAAAAGAGAAATTACTCTCTTTCGTAGCTACATTCAATAGCAATTAAAATCTCCTTTTTAACAGACTTCGTAAAGGAGGAAGTTACTCAATTCGACATTTACTTTTTTTTTTTTCGTCCTCATATCTATTGCTATTACATTAAATGTTGCTAAACTGTTCGAATAGGGGGCACGAGGAAGAACGGCCTAATCTACATAGCTCGAGTTACTTTTCCCAAGTTCGCAGCGAAACGCGGCACCCTCGCGTTATCTTCCTGGGACACAATAACTTTCCTATTGGCTAATTCGCGTCGTTTCCCTGTAATTACTGCATTTAGTCGTTCTAATTGCGAACAGTATAGGTCAAAATTTATGCTTTGTTTATCTACAAGGAGCTCGCGAAGCGGAATTCCCTACCAATCCCCCCTCCAAGATGCAAAATATGATCCTCTTTGAACTTATTAGCAGTACGCCATCTCTGTTGACTTAAGACCTCTTCTATTTCGCGCTGCGCAAAGTGGCCATTTCTTCGCCTCTGTTACGATATTGTTGAGGAATCTTTCGGTGCTCCTGCGCTTACAAATTTCGAGCCAAGGACACGATGTTGCTTAATCTGATTCATTAGCGAGATTCGCTCAGTCGGATAGGTTTTGAGAATGCTCGTGGGGATTGCAATGTAGTTTCGGAACTTCTTAAAGGGAAGATTCCGTAAAGTAACCGAAGGATATGCAGGGTAGCAAATTTAAGACTCTAGTTCAAAGGTAAACGTAACGTTATAGCCGCGATCTTCTATATTATATCTGAAACAATTTTCCTTAAGTTAATAATATTGAAGACACCAAGTCTTTTCTTATGAAATTTCATAAAACAAGCTACGTTCTTCTAGGGGATGTCTGCAAAATTCAATTTAAATTAATAATTTCGAAGACCCCCAGGTCTTTTCCTATGAAATTTCAAAAAACTCGTACACGCATCTTAATGAGTAGAAAATAATACAACAGACAGCAGGAGCATTAAAAATCATAAAATTAGAAACAACCTCGACATGTATCGCGTGTCGACTGAATGTTGATGTGAAATAATAAATACTGAAACGAGCAATGGAAACCATTGACACGGCGAAGATATATTAGACGATGGAGATGGCATCGATGAAATCGAACGCGAAATTATCCGCGAAATAAATGGGGTGAAAAAGGGAAGTACATTATTTGTTTAGTTGGTCGCGTGTCCTGCTATCAGGGCCGAATTAAGCCACGGCTTTAGAGGCAACAAGCCCAGGGGCCTCCGTCGGCTCGAGGGTCTCCAGAGATTAATTTGAGGCAACTTGATGAATTCAAACACAACCATGGAACGCTACAAGCTTCTCATATATTTACACCCTTGTAGTAAACAATGGATTAACTTCCTCGATCCCTAACGGTAAAGTAGCCCTCATTTCTTTGTATTAGTAACTAATCCGACTGCAAGGGAGAGCTCCTCGAATATAAAAACATCCATAAGAGATTCTTATTCTAATCGAGTACGTTGTTTAACACACTGACCGTCGGATTAATACACTTGAAAATGTCTAGGTGGCTACGATTATATTTCTATATAATTGGTAGTTATTTATATTATATAGCCAACCTTATTTGTTTTATAATACAGATTAACAATGAATTTAGCAGTTTCACTTTAAGTAGAAGTATCTTTAAAGTAACATATATATATAGAGAGAGAGAGAGAGTTAAGAACCTACAATTTATCTATAATGATACTAAAACTAAAAATACCATTTTTTTCTTTTGAAAATCCCGGTATCCATAGCCTCCATATCATCATGGCTCTGGGAAAAATCTTAATCCGACTCTGTCTGGTATCGTCGCAATTGGCACGGTTTGTATATATATTTTTTTTTTTCGTCCGTAGGTAAACCTAGATTAAAGGCAAGTCTCCGTTGAGCAATCGCATTTGTTGAGGTTTGAATCCGAGAGTTAAGCTTGATTTAAATGTCCGAGGGAGTGTAGCTTGGGGACCGCGGCCGGATCTTTTCCGCCAGCAGATAAATGGTACTATATGGTGGCTGGTAACGATCTTTCCACAGACGGGTCACATGAAGGTAGTGATACCGCCCGATATCATGGATTTGGACGACTCGGCCGACCTCCTAACGGCTAAAGAGAACAGTGATCTGCGATTACGGTGTCGGGCCACAGGGACGCCGAAACCTATGGTCACCTGGAAGCGGGAGGATGGCCGAAATATCACCCTTCGAACCGAGCACGGTGTTAAACGAGGTAACGCACACATCACATTTCTTCTTTATCGTTCTACAGAATATAGGTAGCCAACCTCGCAACTGTGAAGTGAGAATCCCGACGAGGACGAGCGAAAAACGATAGTTTTCTAATTATGGAAGGAGAACATTTTGTTTCGGTTAAAGAGATCAGTTCTTTTCTGTTGCACAGAAGCTATATGGGTAAAGTAGGGTTTCATTGAAACAAAATAATAGATGGGATAAATAAGTGTAAGTAAGAAAAAGGATCCAGTGAATATTTAACACATTCTGTTATAAACTAGCCAATCAATTTTTAGAAATAGAGCTACATCTGTGAAGTGGTTTTTTATTGAAAGAAAAAAATAGAAGGGTGTTAAGTGGCACTACCATCTTCCGCGGTTCAAACAAGGAGCACCTTCGAAGTCTCCGCCTTCCGACTTTGATGAAGCTTTGCCGGTTTGTAGAACGGCCAAAAATAAAGGATGGGTATTTTCGTTAGCGGTGGTAACTCAAGTTTAAAGGGAGAAACTACCCTCCGAAGTTTCACCCCGCAATGCTATCTTGAAAGCTATTGGAGATACAAGGAAGTCTTTCAAAGAAATTCTCCGCGGTTTCCGAGGGGAAATAACGTGGTGTACATATCGATAAACAAAACTTTAAAGATGTTACGGAAGCACATCTTCGAATTTTTATTCCCAGTATGCTTTAAAAATCAATGCATCGAGCTCGCTTCTACTTTGAATTCAGAACTGATTGGATGTAGACTTATTTTGTACCGAAAGTGCATATATATTAATAATAAAGAATAAACAATTAGTAGAAATGTATTTTAGACGACAGATTGTCTCACTAATTCTTTTATCGATGTGTACGCGATACTACTTCTCAAAAGGTTCTCTTGTACATCTAGTACTTTTAAAGGAAACATTATAAAAATTGGAACTTTACGACTGAAACTTGTAACTGACTCCGCGTAGACTTATTTTGTACTGATAGTGCACATATATCGATAATGGAAAATAAACAATGAGTAGGAACGTATTTTAGACGACAGTTTGCCCCACGAAAATTTTTCTACCGACCTGTACGCGATGCCACTTTCCATCAAAATCCACGGAAAATGTGTTTCAGAGGTTCTCTCGTACATCCAGTACTTGTAAAGGAAACATAAGAAGACTGGAACTTTATACACGCGTCCTCTACACGTGTCTTCCATATTAGCACACGCCATAAACGCACGAAATCTAGTCATCAGACTCTCCGCCTTTAATTAAGACTTCAAAACGTTTCGTGTACAGGTTAGTTGAAGTCAGTCTCTCCAGGGCAATTAGTCAGTCCTAGAGAAATCTCAACGCTAACCATCTACTAAAGTACCATCAGTTAAGATCTGCGAGTCTTTAGCGAGGAAAAAAACAGACATCTCAACCCAACACCATGTGAATTTTCTTTCAGAATTACAGGTTTGCGGATTAATTAATATTTAAATTGAATGATAAATGACCGCAGCTGTAAAATTATCGTCTCCATAATGAAAATGCATGCACGAACATCGATGGACTCAGCTAAATTTATCGAGATAGATTCTATTAGATGGCGAAACAAATTAATATTGTTGACCAAACTACAACCTGCGCGGCAAATTCTAATAGTACTAATCTACAGATAGTTATTATACAGATTATACAGGTCATTGTTGAGGGACGACCGTTTGCAAATAACTTTAATGGTAGAAAGTGGAAACTTCGAGCTTCGGTTGAGTGAAATACTATTTTAAAAAGAATTCATTTGTATTCATTGCGTCAATGCAAGATCTAACCTGTTTTATAACACATCTATCATTAAGAATACAAACATTTAGAACCTGTATTTTGGGGAATTCCATTAGCAAAATGATTGTACAAGTATCGCTACCTAAGATTACAAAATTTCACCTGTTCTATGATACCTTTACTATTAAAAATATCACGTCCTCGTTACAAAATTTAGAACCTGATCTTTCTGTCAGTATATAAGTAGCTCTTCAAGTATTTCTATCTAAGATTCTTACGATCTGATCCCTTTAAAAAAGTTTGCCCTCTTTTGAAACGAAGAGTCGATAATTCCACTTTCGAATAACACATAAATCGATTGTCGAATGATTTGGATCTAAACATTGCATTTAGTTCAATAACAAACATGAATCACATTTCTGTTTCAAGTCCCCGCGGTTTTTAGTTCTTACTGTTAGAAGTGCGAGACGATAAGCCTGCCAATATAAACACCCGCGTCAAAAACTCGAGTTCGACGGATGGGGTGTCAGTTAGTCGTGAGACAACCTCGATAGTGAATGCGGCTGCCTCTATGAGCCTTCCAAGTGTCGAAATAAAATTCATCTAATTAAAAACTATATTATTTCATTTTTCTGCTTCCAACCCGTAACCCGACATCGATCGCTGTCTCATAATTTAAATAAATTCTCGTCGATCCGAGCGGTGACGATTTTGTGGGAGACAAACATCTTCCGGCAAGTTTACGATTTTTATTATCTAGCCCTTCCCAAAAAAAGATTCCCCTCCCTTCAGAACAGAAGCTCGACGATCCTCTCCTATCGATATTTTCATTGTAACCGCGCATCGTACAATCTCGCGCAAATCGATCGTTGTAATTTAAATAAATCACGGGCTCGTGCCGAGTGGCGACAATTCCTCCTCGTTCTTTTCCCGTCGTCAAATTGCGACGGAATCGTTCTGCTCGATCGGCTCGAATCGAAAAAGTTTGAGACGCTCGGAAACGGGAGAGGAACAAGGAAACGAGTCGGAAGGTACAAACAAGATTGCTGGATTCGCAAGTTAAGAAAATGCGCACCGCCAGTTTTGTTTGAAAGCCATGGCGACGGTGGAAAATCGGGTTCTCGGTGGCTGGGGTCCGCCGCGGCGCGTTTTCCGTGGAAAATCAGCCACCCGATTAGCCTTTCTAACGGTGAGTGATGGATGTTGACTTTACATATATTTCCTCTTCGCCGACCCCATCGATTCGCATACCCGATTGCAATATTCGCTGTGTACACTGCATCGCGAAAGTGTGTACCACTCGGTATCTATATCGCGCCAACGATTCACCGATCTTCCCTAAAACGTATCACGGAAAGAGAGGGGCGGGCGGGGAGGGGGAGGAGGAGGCCGACAGTAGAATGGGAGGGAGAGAGTACTCTCTCATTGTTTCAGATCCTTTAATGAGCAGATCCATCCACGTCATTCCGTGTTGCGTTTTACCCGGGAGCGTAATCAAAATGTGAATATTAAAGCGGAATACATTTAAAGCGGTTTAATACGACCGAGTAAATCGATTCGAAACTTTTCGACGAACGACAACTCCCGCGCACCCCCGCGATAATTACGTCGGACGAACCGTAAATAAAAAGAAAAAAAGAAACATGAAATAGAACGACGTCGCGATTAAAACGAGAACATTACTTTGGACGATTATCGATCAACCGCGGATATCGATAATTTTTATTAAAAGGCGCCCGCTAATGGCGGCTTGCTGGCCATAATGGGGAATATATAATTGTCGTCTTACGATTCGAATGGGGAGACAGTATATTTATGTGAGATAGATGAAGTTGTAATAGGCCGTGTGATTGATGTAAAACGTTTGTATTCTTACAAGTGGTATCTCGTAAGTAGACTGCGGATTTTGTGCATTTGTTGCCAAAGGGTACGTGTATGTATGCAAAGCGAAGTAACGATATTATTATACATTTATATGCTTACAAGTATAATGACGTGGTGCCTTACGAGTAGATTGGATTTCATGCATTATTATATCAATTGTAGAATATATTCAACATGTAGTATCCGTATTTTAATGTAGATTTTTTTACGTCACTCTACGTCATAAATGCATAATATTCGCAGTCTATTCATAAGTCAAATTATGTGAATGGTTCATATCAATCACATACTGTTCCACCCAATTTGGCGGACATTGATGGAGGAGTTTGCAAATTTATACAGACACATAAACGAAAAATATATGATAATAATAAGAGAATAGATCACTATCCATATGCGGTATACCACAGATATTTATACATGTTATTCCTACCGCTGAAAGTAGAGAAATAAAAAAGAATCAACGAATAAGGAAGCCGAGGAAGGCCCGAAGCCGACGTACCACGTGTAAAACCATCGGCTGCCACGTATTTACTAATTAATAATTACACTTCGGTATGTTTGAAATTCACGGTTTGCAATTACTGTACACAGTGAAGGTGCACGAGGGGGAGCAGCTTTATCTAACAGGGATTCTGCGTCAGGAAATGGGCTATTACCTTTGCATCGCGTCGAACGGCGTGCCGCCGTCAGTCAGCAAAAGATATTACGTCAACGTTCGGTGTAAGTGCAATGGGGCCCGCGACGGTGTACTACCTTCGTTGGAAACTTACATGATTAATTATAGTTTTCTCCACCCGCAGTTAAACCACTGATTAAAGTCCCCAACCAATTAGTAGCGGCACCTGCTAACAGCGACGTCGTTCTTCATTGCTACGTCGAGTCCTCGCCGAAAGCTCTGAATACATGGTACAGGGACGACGGTAAGGATCGAGCACAATATCGAATAGCAACTGCTGTTTCTCAATGTCGCGCGACGCCCCGTTTAGATGTGAATCGTTCTCCTTTCGCGCGTTAAACGCGGCGACTATCGCTCACCGGGTACGATGTCGGCGAAATGTTCCAGGTATAAAGTTATTGCCGGACGAGAAACACAATCTATCGGAGGTGCCGTTGAACGATTATGCATATCAATTAAATCTGACCATCAAGAGATTGAGCAGGGACGACTTCGGCAGCTACACCTGCTCCGCGGAGAATCTACTCGGCAAGACCGAGGGAACGATAAGGCTGCAAGGTAAACGATCTATTCATTTCACGAGTCTAGAGCTGTTCGAGTACTCGGAAGAAACGAGCAGCTCGAAGGAACCGAGTAGCTCGGACAAAAGCAAGCGGCTCAGACCAAACCGAGTAGCTCGGAGAGAAGCGAGTAGCTCGGAGAGAAGCGAGTAGCTCGAAAGAACCGAGTAGCTCGGACAGAAGCAAGCGGCTCGGATTATCCATTTCAGGCGTGTGAAAGAAATCGAACAGCTCGAACGATTTAAGTACATTCAATGAATACATATTCACATTCACTGGATTCGCACACATTCATTCATGTACTTAAATCGTTCGAGCCGTTCGATTTCTTTCACACGTCCGAAATGGATAATCCGAACCGTATGCTTCTGTCCGAGCTACTCGGTTCTTTCGAGCTACTCGCTTTGGTACAACCTGTGAGACCTCAACTTGATCTCTGTTACGACGTGTAAGTCTCAACCTGAAGGACATTGAAATGCATGTATACGAACTTTGAGTATTGTTCTATGTGTAGTTTAATTATCAAGTAGACTTGGAATATGTTGGAATGATATAGAAAATAAACAAAATTGTATGACCATAAAATGTTGTATATATGTATGTAATGAATCGTTGAATATGTATGGTCATGAGGTTAAAACTTAGGTCATGGAAAATATAGATTCATTGTAATGGAGAATATTTAATACGAGTATTTACAGTCCCTGATTGGAGATTTTCTACTCAATTCGAATACTTGTTTATATTTACACTACTCAAATTGGCAAAAAGTACATACTTTCAAGAAGATAAAGTAGATCATAACGAAGATTCATTTTTATCGTTATTTATATAGATTCGTACACTCATATGGAGCTAATGTTGCAAACTGCAATAATGGTAATAATTAATATACGATCATTTCTAAAACCCTACAGTTCTTCAAACGAATTACAACGATTGATCTCGTATAATGCATTGAATTATCATAACGTGTGTTGATATATATGGGTGCAGGTTGACATTACGTTAAATTCAAGTATTTGTCATTCCTAACGATCATCATGGGTTGACGCAACCTTAAAAATCCCATTGAAAAAAGAAACTTAATTTCCATTTGGTGAAATCAACTACTGTCCAATAAATACATGCCAAATAAATATCAATGTGTTAAATGTTGAACAAGCGTATGCTAAATACGAATCATCTTCGGTTAAGTTTGATGTCGAACAAATACGTTCGAAACAACTGCTCGACGATGAGATTTCTATGATACAATTGTTACAGAATTGTTTCTACCGAGGACCACCTTAGCGCCGACCCGCAACACGGATTTCAACGATAAATACGGATCAAAGAAACAAAGCGATAGAAAGGGTAAATTGCTCTCGTTTGGACGCGAAGGTTTGTCGAAAAATAGTGGAAATGTGGGTCACACGACAACGATGTTGAGGAGAAATAGTTCGAACGCTTTGACGGACGTGAACGCGAAAAAATCGAAAGTTTCATCATACCCGGCACCGGCACCTGCGCCAGCGCATTTTCCCCCGACCCAGCTGAATGTCCAGAACAGCGTCACTTCGCTGCGGCGTTGTCGATTAAACTGCGTAGCATTAATGTTCGCTTTCGTAGTGATCGTCGTATGTAGTTCGTAAAAGAGTCCGTCGTGTACAGACCGCACGACGAGTACAAATTACGTTAATAGTAGGCCAAAAGAATATCGAAAACAATCCAATTGCGTCCTGGCTTCCGGTTACTTTACGTTCCTTGCGTTCCCGAAATGTTACCGAGATTTTACGTTTCACCGCCGACGCGGACTCGTCGCTTCCCTTATACTAATTAAACGGTTGCGTCACCTTCACAGCGAGAACGATCAATTTTCTTTTTTTTTTTTTTCGTTGTTGTTGTTGGGAGGTGGTAGATGAGGTTGCGTTCTTGCGATTTGGGATAATTAAAATATAGTAGAACTTCATTTGTCCGAATTAGGGGACTAATCATCAGGTTTGGATGACTGGATAGTTGATGCAACTTGAGTTCACGAATTTTCATCGCTTATGGTAGATTCGAGTCATCTTCAACCAGACTTTGATAATGAAAAGTTACGTTTGTATGCTTTTAATGTTTTTAACACTGATGTTTTCACACTGATTCATATGGAAATGTGTACGAGACTAAAATTTCGTCTCGAGACTATTGGGAATTATAGAATCTATTATTTGTCGTATTACCAATTTTTATATCCCTGTACAAATTTACGAATTCTATCTAGATTCGTTTTCATTAACACTCAGTCCTTAAAATTAATTGTTGAAGTTCTTCAGTGAAAAGCTCTGTCACCCATATATGGGTGACGTGGCGTTCAACGTGTTAAATGAAGTTCTACTGTATATACCAATCTATTAGAGCCTATAACATATATTATAACATATCGTGACATAAGACGAAGAAAAAGATCTGAAGGGAAATAATTGTTTTTTTCTGAGCATTTGAAGTCGGATGGTAATAAACTTGGTGGAAGAAAGTCTCGTTGAAGTAATCGTGCCGAGAAAATATGTCACCTGTTGCGAGACTATTTAAATAAGATCAGTGGATATGGATAACGACTTATCCGAATAAAGGGAAGAGATTTGTTACGTTTCATTCGTAGCAAAAAATTCATATCGATGGAGCGGATAGTATCGATATTAAGGACTCGTAAATATAAGGACCCTTTGTTTCATCAATGTCAAGGTGACGTGATCCTTTAAGCGCTCGCGCGATCCTCGAACCAGAGATGGAAGGTATTTTATTCGACTAATAGACGACGAATAAAGACTCTAAAGCAGTTACTCGAATAAGGCTTTATTCGTCCAATGCAAATTTGCGATTAATCCATTCGCGGTTGGTTATTCGTTAATGGAAATCTGTATCTAGATAACCACGTGTCCATCTCTGTCTCGGACTAGATGTTGTATCGTTAACGCATGTGATATCGAAAGCACAGGCCGGTGTTACATTCTGTGGTGTAAATAATGAACGGTTTTTATGACAATAAATGTAGCTGTATACGACAAATCGGTAGCGTAATAATCAATATCCGAAATAAAACTATACCATCGGTCCCCCGAAATACGACAAGCACGTATCTAGCTCTGATTGTCGTTCCAATGATCTCGTATTATTGCGGAACAGATGTACAGTTATTTTCGGACAAATAATAACCGCGTGTATTGTGCGGCGCGCGGATGTCGAAGAACACTCGCGGCGAGATAGTTGATATGTTAATTTGATTCGTCGCCGCGACAGAGTTGGGCTAATTTCGTTCCAAATAACGAATAGAAATCGCATCAGCTGGATTCAATTTATTCGCGAGAGCAAAATTGATATTTCCTTCAACCACCCACCGTGAAGCAGGCCGCGAAATACATATAAAAATAAAAATTAAAAATGAAATAAAATGAAATGAAATATATACGGTGAGATCTATAAGTATTTGTACACTCTACATTTATTGAAAAATGCTTGTCTGAATTAACTGACAGGTTCGATGTTTTCAAATAAATTTTTCGTTCCGAATATATACATGTATAAAGTACATTCGTGTACGTATTTATAATGAAAGATTTATTTAAAAACATCAAGCTTGTCGTTTAATTTAAACTTTCTTCAACAGGAATGTTTTTCATATTTTCGACTGTGCTTTATATTTATATTTTTGTACTACACTATTTCATTTCTAAGTGTAAATACTGATGATTGTTCAGTTAATCACTGTGATTAGCGACTGTGACTGCGAGCCAAGCTATTTCAATTTTAACTAGCTCGTTTTACTTTTATTCTACCGAAAATATCTGAAATTCCTATTCGTTATTTTGAATAAAAATTAGCTCAACTCTGCACCGCGAACACGTCGCCAGGCACGAAGTGCGATTAGGCGAACAGAGGTCCATTTAACGCGCCCCGATCATCGTGGTTCGCGAACGATCTTGGTAGAATATGTAAATGTATTATTTATCGATGTTAATATCTGAGTTGTGTATTCATGTATATATGTACGACAATAAACGTTGTTTTTACCGTAACACGCCTATCCACTATTTCTTTTTGGGGAGCATTCGACGGTGGAAGTATATATACAGAGTTCGTCCAGATAGTGGAATCAGGTAGATGAAACCACAGGATTTTCAAGTACTTTCATTGGGCCGCTATGACTCTGGTTATCGACCAATGAAAGTACTCGAAACTCCCGTGGTTTTATCTATCCGATTCCACGCTCTCGATGGACCCAGTATAGAATTGCTTAGAATCAAAAAATGGAGGAATACAATACCGGCTCGAAAGACGTCCTCGACAAACCTAAAACCATGTGACATACTCGTGAATTCTGGAGCAATAAAACGCGATAGATTCGAATCGTTCGCAAATAATTCCTACGCCTAATACAATTAGTTCGAATATTATATTAGTTCGAAATGATCGTCTCCATCCTATTCAGTTAACAAGTCAATTAACAGTCTCGCGTTACAATGAAAACATAAAAATCTGTCGCACGGTGCCGGTTTCCTCGAATTTCACTGCGCCAATCCGTTTTCCCTTATCGAAAGAGGAAATTATAACGCAAAACGAAGGATACGTCGCCCACGCGATTCGGTTACGCATCACACGAGGTATCTCGGAACGTTCAGTTAATTAAATGCTCGCGCGAGTTCTGGACTCTGTTTCTCGATCATGGACCGCCTGTTGATTTTTATTATTTTTAATTTATTGGCAACCGTCACGTCGGATTCGATCAATTGTGCCACAACTAAACGAGGTGAGGCTGTCACGTTCACGTGCACGGATCAGAAGAACCTAACTGCGTTGGATACAGCCCCAGCCAACACTACGTCCATTGAGATTTTTGATTCGAAAATACCTTCTGTACATGGGTAAGAAAGTGAATGTATTAATATAAATAAATTTGGTTAATGTTCCATTTATAGATAGATTGATAGATATTTCCTGATAGATTGTTCAGGATACTATTTTTGGCTGTTTTATAATTTGGAAAGGGGATTTGTTGGGTCAAATTCTTTTTGATAAACATACGAGATTATTTTATAAATCGTAGACTGTTAGGGTATTATGGAAGACTTGGCTTTTGGAATGAATTTAAAAGGAAATTGATTTATTACATTGGGTATAGACACTCGAATGCAATTTAGAAACAAATATTATAATTCCTTGATATTAACAGTCTTGTTTGTTGTCGATTATAACCTCCTGTTTACAAGAGAAAGATAACCACATCGTTTAATATGTTAACACTTTACTGGCCAGTAGCCTATTAATCATCTTCTTGCCATGGCAAGCAATACTTTGTTATCTATTACCAAGATAGCATTGCATACTCCCATCGTCATAAATTCTAATGTATTGTGTAAACATTAATTTAAAAACGACTGTAATAGATATAAAATAAATATTGTACAATACTAGTTATGACAATAAAAAGTATAATTAAATTTAATTACATGTCCAAACGCTACCAGTCGATAAAGTGTTATCTCAGCAAATTTCATTTAAATAAAATAATAACTTCCTCGAGCCTGCGAAATGATTACCCCTTAGTTTGTTAACACTGCATAGAATGAACCAAGAGTGTGAATGAGTGGATTAGTATCGAAATTAGGCGCACTGATTTTATTAGGTCGTCCCGAAAGTTTCTTTCACGAGTTGCACTCAATTATTCGATGTGGTCGTGACATCGTGTTTATATAAATAGACAATCTAATTTCACAGATATTCATGTTGCAACAGCAATGGAGCAAAATGAATCGTGCACAATTGAGTGATGTAACGTAAAACATAAAATATTGTGCATGTATTATTTATTAATAAAGCGAAAGAAACTTTTGTGACAACCTGATACGTAATGAACTGAGAGTCGACTCTAAACATTTTTCTTTTGTTCCCAGCCACGCGTTCTCGAGATTCGCGGCGAGCCTCGTAACTCTAGATTTACATGGATCAGGTATCGAATTTATAGACCAGTCGGCGTTTATAGGCCTCACCAAGCTGGAGAAACTCATACTGTGGGGTAATAAGTTGCGAACAGTGCCGAGAGATTGGTTCGCGTACACGTACAGCCTGAAAACCCTCGACTTGTCGTTCAACTTTATCGAAGTAATCGACTACGCTGTCTTCCAGATGCTTTCCAATTTAGAAAACTTCTACTTCGACTACAACCAAATTAAATTCATCGATTACACTATGTTCGCATATCTTAAAAGCCTTAAAAATGTGAAGTTCGAGAAGAATCCGTTGAGTTGGGGGTGAGTGAACGGAACCGTCTCCTTTTTCCAATAATTTTAAACGAATCGCAAGGAAACGAGGGAGAGTCGTCTTTCCCAGAAGCCTTTTATCGTCTTCTCTGAACAAATTCCCTATAATAAAACGTTCTCGCTGATTGTGAAACGAACTATTACTTTTATTCGTTTCACAGGATAATTAAATAATTGTTCCCCTCGCTCTAAGCTCTAAGGGGTTGTAGCTAACTGGCTATGTTTTATCGTAGCTATAATGCCATTGGGTTACTGGGGCCAGTGGGCCCCAACAAATTACTGAATGAAGAGTAAAGAGAATGTAAAGCAATGGTAGAGCAATGTAAAGAAAGAGATTAATGAATATTGTATAAAAGTAGACCATTTTAACGTACAGTAGTAAAAGTCTTAGGCCAGCATGTTAATCTTGCATTAATTTAAATGCACATACACATCTGCTATTCAACTTTATATATACTAGTGTACTATACATACATATGTATATTAAAATAGTACACAAATTATTTAATAGATTCAGAAGAGAATGAAACATTAAAATTCACGATTTGGCGACCTGAAAGTCTCGATTTCAATATTATTGAACATATCTTATATAATTTAAGTGGCCTAAAACTTTTGCACTGTAAGACTGTTACAAAAAGTGTTAAAGTCGCATAGGTGACTCCATATCCTTATAAATAAATGAAAGTAAAGTAATTCTCCTCTTTCCTATTTCGCAGATATCGTGCTCATTTGACGTGGCAATTGGAAAATCAGCACGTAAAATACACGGAACAGTACGAGAACTGGGGATGGATGAACGTTGCCATAAAAGAATGCACGGACAGTGGATATGGGGAAATACCGACAGACACCGTTTTAGATTGCATTGTCGCCAAACTGCTTGACTTTACACACAAAGTTTTTTCCACAGAAATTGGACAGAGTAGCAACGTATGCGCGAATCAGGCAATCGGGCTTGTCCAATGCGTGAGATCCCAAAATCGTACTTACAATACCGATAACGAGACTGTACGAAAAATACTCGAGGACTACGCCGCTATTTTATTACCTATGTCAAAATCACGAGGCCGATTTTCGAGTCCAATTTACCTCTGAAGTGGAATTCTTTTAAAAATTCAACAGTTAAAATTATGTATACTTGGCGTAGAAGTTAATTCTGTGGCTTAAAATAAACTTGTTATTTATTTATGATAAAAAAGCAGAGAAACTATAATTTTCCCTCAGTTACACGTTCCAAAAGAGCTTGTATAATTGTAAACAAGAAATTTCTATTAATTCTGTGCCTTTCTAAAGTCAACTCACCCTTTCTTTATAAAGATCACCCATACAATTTTTAATTTTCCCTCAGACACACATTCCAACAAAGTTTATATGGTTGCAAAGAAAATAAATATCGAAGGAATCCGTGTTTCATTATTGTGAAGTTTGTTACTTGAACGTGATAAAATCGTGAGTGAATATTTCCATCTAAACTACAGTTCTAAACGACATAAGCAATTACTTTCTACAGCTATTAATTTCCAAGTACATTTACAATCTGTTAATGAAATTCCAAAAAGTGTTGTAACGCGAAAATAATTTCTCAACATTTTTTTCTTTTTATTAAAATGCTTCGGTATAGGTCAAAAGATAAAAATGGCAGTATGCAAATGTCAAACTGTATGCAGATGTCAACCTGTTGTGACGATATGCAGACTGGACGGTCCACGTTTGCAGATACGAATGCGTTATTCGGAAACAATTGGATATCTAAAGCAACAGCTTGCTGAATTATTGCATGAAAGACATCGAAAGTGGAAACCGGAGAGAATGAGGCTTTGGATTCGAGGTTATTATTTGGAAGACAATCGTACTCTATCCGATTACAACCTAACATCCGAAGACCGAATAATGTTGCTCCTTGACGATCGTTATTTAGTGTAACTTTAAAAAGAGAAGTTAGTACTTTGGTCTATGGTTGATTAAACAATTTTACTGACAAATAAGCGTGAGATGAAATACTGTTAATGTTAATTGTAAGGAAATAATGTTCATTAAATCATTTGGTATTGAAATACCAATTTCTTCTGGGTGAAATATCCTGTTTTATGTCTCTTGTGTAAGATGAATGAAGAAAAAATAAACAAACGTATAAATATGTTTATTTATTTGCTGTCGTAAACTATAGACTTATAAAGTAATCGTGACAAACTAAACGCGATACGTTTGAGCATTGTAGTAAGTACAAACACGCCTTTGAACAAAAAAAGAAAACAATGATTTCTCCAATCTGTTCTAGATTCAGTTAACAATAATAAAAAATTATATTGATTATCGTGGATTTCAATCAAACGTTTAAGCAACTTATTGATACTCCATTTATAATGCATATGTAATTCAAACGATAGTAAATACCAATAAAATATTTGTTTAACGTATTAAAATCGGTAAGTTGATATTTGAAATGTATAATGTTTAACGTAGAGAACCTGCGATTATCAGATTTTCTGAATTATCTTTCAAGATCAGCATACGATCCATTTTTGTCAAGCTTCAGTTTTAAAAGTCGCGCCTACTCTCTAGCATTATTTTTTAATGAATAAAAACGTGCACCATGTTTAACATTAAATATATCAAAATCGAATTGTTGCGGCGAAGGTCTTTCGGAAATTGGATTAAGTCCCAACTCGACCGTAAAAATTTTCGATTAAAATTGAATTCGAATTTCATCTTAAAAGATTAAAAATGATCAACTTAAAAACGTGTTTGAATTCAAGTGTTTAGAATTTTCTTGATGTCCAGCTATCATGCTTTCGGATCTCTACGTTATAAATAATATGAACGATCGTCGTATGGTTAAGTAAATTAGTTATAATCAATTTCGTTATTCCAGTGATGATTCGACAGAATAGCAGAATTACCTAGCTTTTGTTCCATGCGGTAGAATTCATTTTGTTGTTGCAGCGCTGTTTAATAACAAACGAAAAAAAAAACAATTAAAAATATTCCTTTAGCATGTTCTGATTATTACTATTTTTTATACGACTTTATTTTAATAAAATCCAGCATCATTGGTTGTTATTGTTTCGTTACTTTTTCTTCAAATAAAAATGCCCTTCTAAGCAATCAATTAAGTTCGATCTGATCGTGGCACTAAAGTTATTTAGGGTAAGTGTATCGAAATATTTGTCGATAAACAAACATTTGTTAGAAATAAAATGGAAGTTTCCAAACGCAACGAGTACTGGAAGTGGGCATTGTTCTATTATTTAAGGGAAGGATAGATTCACTCTAAGAATACGAATTCCGTTGGACGCGTCAAAACAAGCCAGGTATCATATTACTTGTTTACATTGGACATCTGGCGATAGCGAGTTCCGAGGATTCACCCTTGAACCGTCGCCAGAGACATGGGTAAAATTCTTATTTGTTTGAATATTTCGAAAAATCAATGAAATATAATCAACGTTTTATACGTTATACATATTGAATCCAGGGACAGCTTTAATATCCCAGGGATAGCTTTAATATTACAGAAACATGTGCTAAACGACATAAAATATCTCTAAGATACTATAAAAGACACTAATCTTTAAAATAGTAAGTATAGTTTCACTAGCTAAATAGAAACTCAATGAAATCCATCGCTAATAACCAAGCAGTAGATACGACGTAAAATAAAACTATAAAAAAATTAAAATGTGAATTATCGAATGAAATTATATGTAACATCGCGAATAAAATACAGTGTTCTTCTTCATCATGCAAATAGAACTTTGCCCATCCTCGTCTATCGTTCTATAACGTGGGCTTTCAGATAGGATTACTTTTAATAAAAATCACTTACCGCAATTCTGGAACGTAGTAGAAATGAGATGGTACATCTTAGAGCAGGCTTCAGAGATCGCATCTTGCTTCGTGGGCATCAGATTTCCATGATATTCGAAAAGAAGAGTCGTCTCTTTGAGGATAGTTATCTGGAAAAACACAAGAAGTGTATAATTAATAAAAAAAAATCAAAAATTCCAAGAAACACTTAATACGTGGACTAAGAAACTTCTAATATAGTTTCCTTCCTTAAGGTTTGAAAACGTTCTAAATTTCACGAATGTAATCATTGTAACGATCAATTTTTCTTTATTGCGTTTCAGAATATTAAATTTCCAAAATTTAGACTTAATTTGGAATGAATCGTAAGAAAATGAAATAATCGAACGCTTACTTTGCACATATAACTCGAGGGCGTTGGAATGTGTACACAATTGAAACAGCAGGCAGCGTTGAACTTTTCTTTTATGAAACTCTTCAAGGCGGTCATGTGTATGGAGGATACGTCCTTTATACTGTTATCGTTCAAATCCGCCACATCTTTGACGTTGGCTTTCTTCGGTGGAGTATGCTTGCCACGATTTGGTTCGAATTTATGGGAATTCGACTTTGCCACTGCCTCGTTGATACATCGCTGCCTTTCCAAAACTTTCGTAGCTCCGATTGGCTTTGCCCAACGTATTTCCCAGCCTTCCGCGTCAGCAACACCGCCAGGTCCTTTTTTTTTTTTATTATATAATAGTTAATAAACAGATCATCAAATGAGAATAACAAATTTCTCAGTTTTAGTCGCGCGGCCATTTTTACGTTTCAACGGAATAGTTGACGGCCATTTTGAAAGTTAGAGGAATTGAATTTACAAAAGACGATCTTTCATTTTTAACCAAAGAAAAAGGCTGTAATTGATATGAAAGCATTTATTTGTATTTTTCAAATTTACTGCCTCGATAATATTGTATTAACTTTTAACTACTTAGTATTTACCACACAAGATTATTTAAAATAAATTGTTAGCTGGTAAATCTGCAGTTAAACTGATTATTGTATTTGCCCCATTATGGATTTTGCTGGTGTAAATATTTGTTCACCAATATGCATTATTCGAAAATTGTTTGATTTTCTTTCTTCAACTCTGAAGCTGCTTCTAAACTAGCGATTCGAAACATAAGAATAGAGGCTTGATTAAGATTGAGAAATCGGCCTTTTTATTGTATCCGTACGCTTTGCTACTAATTAAATAAATTACTAAGGAACTAGTAAATAAGGAAGATAAACGTACTTGTCATAATGTCCATTACGGTCTGAGCTGCTTGGCGGTTTTCGTAATGAATGAACGCAAAGTGATTAATTTTTTTCAACTTCAATATAGGGATTTTCGTGGTCTTCTGAAATATGTCTCGAACTTTCTGTTGCTGAATGTCTAACGAAAGATTTCGCACGAACAAAGCGGTAACCTGCGATCAATAAATATCTAGTGTAATCGATATTATTCAAAAATAATTTCGCTGTAGATGGACAAATAATTTATCACTGTAAACTTCTATTCTACTCTGCAAATATTATAAACTTGACTTTCAATATTTTTTTATATTATTGCAAAACGTGTGCATTTTATAGTTTCTTGCACATTAAAATTCCCTAAAAATGCGTACAAATGCGAAGCCTAGTAATTTATTTATATAAATTTATATAAATATTAAATTATATAAATTTTATAATTAATTTATAAATTTTAATTTTATAATTTTATAATATATATTAAATTATATAAATTTATATAAATTATTTATATAAATGTATTCGAGATGTACGTTCTATCAGTTGAATCGTCGATTACGAAATATTTAATTCTGCAACTAAAATTCTAATTCTTATTTAACGAAATGAACAAACAATTGTATATCTTATTCGAATTATCTACATAGAATTATGACCATCTCTCATCGTAGAAGGTTCAAAGATGATCGATTCTAGAATATTCGCAAAGTTTATACATAAAAATCTTACCGTTTCCATAATCTCCTCGTCGATGGGATCTCCAGGTTCGGGATCGGCCCAGTCGACAGCAATTTCGTGGTCCCATAACATTATTTTCCCAGGAATTAATTTCCTTCTCGCCATGGCGGCAGCCCTGTGATCCTTGAACTCGACGAAGATGAAACCGCGATTCAACGTCTTGTCGTGGGCGCTTGGATACAGATAAATGTCGACGATCCCGTCGAGGATCTTGTTCAGCTCTTCAAAGAACTCTTCTTTGCTCTTGTTCTTTGGCACACCGCCGAAAAATAACCGACAATTGTCTACCGATTTAACGACGCCGATACGATGACCAGGTCTGATCTCGTAACCGTTGAGCTTCGCGCATGCTCGCCTAGCGATTTTCGAATTCTCGAACAATGCGAACGCGTAACCGCGTGTAGATCCAGAAAAATCGAGCATCAACCGCAGTTCAATCAAACGACCCACTTGTTCGAGAATTGGCATCAGTTCGTCTTCGTAACAATTGCGTGGCAGACGTCCGAGAAAAATCTCGGCGCCCTTCGTGCGTTGCTTTTCTCCGCGAATTATCTCGGGGGCAGTCAAACGACGCTGTCCGTTCTCTTGGACCAACTCGTACTTCGTTCTTTGTAACATTTCCAGCAATCTTAAAGTCAATTGGCACTCGGACGTGCTAGCTTCCGATCTGCTTTTCACTTTCTTCTGTGCGTCCATTACGAGACAATACGATCCGATCGCAACGAAAAGGATAAACGGACTGAGTTGCGAACCGACCCCCTCAATCCTTTTCTTTTTTCTTACCTCCCTCCACCTCCATTCCCCTCGCGTAACCGGGCAGAGTTGGTGGAAATGTTTGAAGTCTATCTTACCCCTAAACCAATCCGGAGTATCGAATGACATCGCCGATACATCTATACGATCTTAGTTAGGAGATAAATTTCGAGGCTGCCTTCGATGTCAAATAAAGACACGAGAAGAAAGGCACTCGCGTGTCGTTTATTATCTCGAAAGGATCGCGAGCTTTACGCACCAGATGTCCGTTATATTATTAAGCCTTTCAGTGTCGAATAACGATATCTCATTGGCTACACTTGTGAAAATTACCGCCAACGATGCATTGGGTTCTAATATTGCTATACAGTGTGGTCCAGTCAAGTCATAACTCTCGTGTCAGTGCAGTTTCGAGAAAAGTGTCAAAGGAAAAATCTGATAATGAAGATAGGACTTGTCACACCTATTTCGGCCTACCCTGGGTAAGAAATTGTTTGTAATTATTTATATCCTGATCGAAATTTAATCACAATATTCAATCAAATATTGATTTATACAATATTTATTGCATGATTACGACACAATGTGCAGGCTGTATTTTGATGAATTTCGAATATTTGGTTACCAGATTCAGCTGCAAACCTTTTCTATGGATATTAACAAGAGAAATCTTTTTGAATTTTTATTCTAAGACGTTCATGTAAGCAAAATATCAAATAATTTCATCGAACCGTTTGTTCATAATAAATTGAATAAAGCCTCATTTTCAACGTCTTACTTGAGACACTCTTGAGTAAGTTATTTAAGACGCATACGCAAATTCGTCTTCTATCTTTCTCGCACAATTGTCCGATTTCTCTCTCACTTAGTTCTTAGTTCTTTATTTTCAGTGACAAATCAATTTAACAATGGTTATTGCACTTACACATACTTCGTAATATTATTAATACAAAATTCTTAATTTTATTTCACTAACTACGTATATCGCTCAGGCGCACTCCTGGTAGAACTCCTTTGCTATTCTATGCTCCTGTTAACTTCAACCAATTTTTCGAAGGTGCCAGTCGGGTCGACTGAGTCCCGGCTATGGCTAAAAATACGATATTGAAATCTTATTGCTAAAAGAAAGAAATTATGGCATTAAAATATTGTTCATAATTAAATAAATACAACGAAAATATTTACAAAAATAATGGTTGATTGTTGCCAAAGATTTATACCTCGCATTGCGATTATTTTGATACATAAATAAACGGCGATTTGTTAGAAAATTAGTAACAAATGCAACCAATTAATATCGTGTAGCGATTACGAACATTATTCAAGTAATATTCATAATTATTAATCTAGCCATAAAATTTTTACAAATTTCATATGTACATGTTGCAAACGATCTAAACTTGACATTGCGTTTATAAAAGTTTACCAATTAATTGCAGGGAACGTTATTATTTTTCTTCTATTTTATTATTTTTCTGATTAAATCAGTGGTCCGCCATTTTGTTACCGTGGTCTATATCTTTCTCGTTTCAATCGATAGTTATCCTTTTCTATACCTCTCTCGTTCTAACCTCTCAGCTCCTGATAAACCTCCTTCTGTGATAGCAGATTCTGCTCCCATTCGTGCATGCGCGTCGAAAAAAAGCTGAACGCGCAGTACTGTAGTCAACGATGCGTGGTCCCGATTCATTATACTTGTATTTTTCTTTAGGGGGACCTAAAGGCGTCAGTTTTCTGGTCGTATTAGATACTTTACTGACGCTAAAAAACTAGTACGCATGCTCGACCGTGGCATCGCAGACCTCCTTCACCATTTTGTGTTCCTAGTTATTTCGAACCGATTCTAATACGAGACTTCGAAAAAAAGTTTCACGGTTCCGTACATTTCCTACAATTGTACATGACTATTTAATTCGAACGCAAATATCTGTCATCATGCTATGCGATTATTGCACTTCATAAAGCATATAAATAATTAGATACATTATTTATAGACTGTTAATCAAATACCGAATAAGCGAGCACTAATATAATCGACGAGTTTTAAACATTGTTAACAGGTAATTAATAGCGCAGAGCAACAGCACAGATCTTTGCAGAAACGATTCTTGAATATTGGATAGACTTATTTATTGATTTGCAGTTAATAATGAATTATATACATACCTGTGAAAATTATTTCATTACGTCACGAAACTGCAACAGTATACGGGAGATTTGGATAATTTTAATGTATTTATTTCAACGATTTATAACTTTTACGATTAATACATTTCTCGTTAGCATCGTATGCACTTTACATTAGATTGCATTATTATTCGCGGCCATAAGTTCTGTGGACAATTATCGTAATTTGCGTTAATGACTCAACACACGTGTTCATTACAAAAGTTTCCAATACATGAGGACATGTTTGTTACATTCGTATATGTAATTTGCAATCACGTGCAAAGTATATACTACTACATTTTACGCAAGAATAAAAAAAAATCATCCTTTCGTGATATTCGTTATTATTTCAGGCCCGATAGTCAGTGATATAATTCATCCTCGCTTAAAAGTATTCAGAGTTATGAAACCAATTTATTATCAAACGAATAAATGCAACGAACACTATACAAAAGAAACGGTATCATGTACAGAGTATCGAAGTAAGCGTGACTGAAATTTCTATAATTAACGTTTACATGACGCGCACCCGTTTCACGGGGCGGACTATTTTTTTTTTGTACAACGGTTTACTTGTTAATCTATTGATTGTAACGATTATCATAACTCATTATAACGACGTGTATCGGTACTAAAGCTACCAAGCTATTTTGGAAAACGATACATCACATCTCGCATTCTCAACAGACGCTCGTGTCCACGCATTCCATCACACTTACGTTAAAGACAAATGAATATTTTATAGTTCTCTGAATTGAAAGCACGTAAACAAAGAGGAAGAATTCCTATGGTCAAAATCAATTGATCGGTCAAGATCACTTTCTCCATCGCAATTTATGTCAAAAACGACGTCTAATTAACTTTTGATCCATTATTTTGTAAAAAAGATTTTGCACATCACGTTGAATGAATATAAGTTTATGCGAATAAATTATTGCGTGGTCATTTAATTAATGAATAATTTTATCTAATAAATAAAATATATTATTTGAAGAAAATTTCGCTTACGTTTTGTACCAAACAATATAATGAGGTTGATCCTTGTGTTGAGCAACCAATTGATTTTATGCCTTCTTAGTCACTAATTCCTATAGCGTGGCAGCCATGTAGTACATACATTTGCTCTCAATTCACAAATTTTCGCCGACCCAGTACATAAATCATAACGACGAACTATAGTAACATTATCTTTTTTTACTATTACACATTAGGTACCTACGTGTCCGCCGTTCTCGCGTATGGGGGACAATATATCAGTGCCGGTTTTGTACACGATCGTGAAAGAATAAAACATGCGTACATGGCACTAAGCAACATCATAGAACACGGATCTAGTGATCTTAAGCATACAAAAATAAATTATAATAATAATCATGTATCTCTGAACTTATACATGTACAGTGAATACTATATTATGTATACGTATATATATATAATATATATATAGATATATAAATATATTTTAAAGTACACTATCCCTTATAGTTACTCCCGTTTTAGAGTACAATTAAAATGCTCTTCTTCTTCTTCTTCTTCTTTTTTTTTTTGTAATACATAACAGAACATCTAGGAGAATTATCTAATACATTTAACTTCGAATTAGCTAAAACAATAGCTTCGTATATGTTGACAATGCCCGTGATCGATTGCGAATTCGTGAGAAATTTAATTCTATTCGTTAAAAATTCTTTAAAAAATAATACATAAAAATGCCAAAGAAGTATTCGTGCTTGTCGTTCAAGAATTATGTGATACCTTGATACTCTTTTGAAACATCGTCTCTCACTCGAACGACAAACAAGAACGCAAACCGTTTAGCTCGTGTCATTTTGCAGTCGTACAGATGAGTGTCTAAAATACACCTAACTAATCGGATTATTTTTAAAAAATATATTACACTAGAGACCCACCGTTCTCCTAGACATTCTTGCTTCACTACACCCACCATTATATCTGCTGGTGTACGCTTTGGCTGCAGCAAATTATCTGTGGGTTAAAAACGATTGGTTAGAATCATAGTTAAAGATTAAGTGCCGTTATAAAAGGTTGTTTCAAATTTTAATGAACAAATTTCATCCGTTATTAACGTCAATTAAATTATTTTAAGCAATATACGTACCTACGTAGTTTAAGGAGTTCAGTAAATTACAGACTTGTAAAGGCACAGGACGAAACGACTAGGAGTAACGTTGAAATGGCTATCGCGGGTTGAGAAGCAGTCCCTGTTGTTGACGGTCCTAGAATTACAAATACATTAAATTTATAAAACAATCTTACTTGTGTAATAAATTTAGTATCTACAAGGGTATCTACAACCCTCAACTTGCACACTCGCGTATAATGTTACGTTAACAGTACAGTTACTTATATTTACGAAGTTATCGAACGATTGTAATCCCGCAAAAGTAAATTAAAATCAAAGTGGACCAAGTTGTATGCCCTTTGTCGAATACGAATTCCATCGTTCATGTATCGCGATACTTACCGCTTTCAGCATCCGGGATCTCGTCGTAGTATTCTGCAACGAAAACAATCGAATTAGAATGTAATAAATCAGCGCGTTTACTACGCAGCAAAATATGAGGCTAGCGTTAATATTTTCGTACCTCCTTTAAATATGTGTGGCTCGGAAGGTTGAGACCATCCGAAGTCATTTCTAGCCATAAGGATCGCTTCGTACGACCCAGACTGAAGTCCATCGATCTTGTGCTCAACGATAAATTGATTGCCCTTGCCATTCGTTACCACGGGCTTGAGAACGATCCATGAGTCAT